CCCCCATATCAGTTTTCTGAATGTATCCAATCCCCCAAACCCCTACAGACTTGATTGTTACAAGAGTAAAGAACGTCTCCTGGTGGTTTGGCTTAATACGGTGAGGTCATTTTCCTCTGCCCAGAACAATTCAGTCAGTACAGTGACTCTCTATCTTGGTCTTTGCAGAGGAAACATTTGGCACGGAAAACAGTGTGAGACGCAAACACTCAAAACTACTTTATATTTCAAACATCATAAAAGCATGGAATTTACATTCCAGGAATTCCAGAAGAGCTTCAGAAAAACCTTGAGAAGTCAAACTTGAACCAGAGCTGCTTGTCTTAGCTGGGGAACCTGGCTTAGAAACTCACCAGCCAGACCCTGTGCTGTTCACTCTGCCAATCCGTCTTCTCAAGTCTGATCCTTTCTTTCTGTTTGCGCTGTCTCTCTGACTCTTCCTTAGCAGCCAGGGCAAACATGAGCCTGGCCACAGACAGACCTGATTCTGGATGGTGGTTATGTTACTTCCGACTACATGGTCATGCAGTAGTTTCTTAGATCTTTTGATACTCAGCTTCCCCCACTACATGAATACTACCCACACTTACATATTGCCATGAGACTCAATCCATTTGAAGTAGAGGGATTGGCAAATAGCCAACACTCAATATTTATTCATTATCTATGTAATATTTTACAATTAATTCTTAGTTTGGTTGACCCTTTAGGTTGTAGAAATTAACATTTTCAGATAGTTCACAAATACATTATTATTGTGGCATTTTCTTACAGTCTTTTGGTCCCTGCTGAGATGGATCCTGAGCCTTGGGAAGAGAACACATGGATACAAATGTCCCATTTGTGACTGGGCACTCCAGGACACCTTTTTTCTTCTTTTGACTTGAGTTTCTGCATCAGCCACCATCCTCTGCACTGATGAGAGCTGAGGGCTGCACTAACTTATGGGTAGTGAGACGCAAATTTAGTGGGTAGTTTGATAGCATGTCCATTAAGAGTAGTAGGTTCACCCCTGCAGTCTGCAAACTCCCAACCATGGCTTCTTGGCAGATTTTTAATTCTGGGCATGTATTTCCTTCTGTGGCATCGCCCTTACATCCAACTATTCCAACGGTAGTTCGTAGGCAGCTTGGAGGTCTGCTGCTGTTTTTAAACTCTAAGCAACACATAAAGCGCCTTTGCATGTTTGTCTTAGCGTGGTTTCCTATCTTCAGCTTTTACCATTATAAGTACGTTTCTCCCTTCTATCCTGAAACCTGCCCTTTTGTTAGTTTCCCTCTCCATTCATCTCTAAGGATCACACACAGCCTATTGCTAAGCTTCAGTGGACAGAGACCCCTGCCAGAGCTCATTTCTGTTGGATTTATGACTTTGTTAGCCAAGGCAAGGGAGGCAAGTGTGCCTAGGCAGAATTCTGTAATGACCGGTGAGCTTGGGTATAGAAATAGCCAAGCCTAACTGAGCTAGAGAACTGTGATACAGAACCATGCTCTGTTTTAAACCTCTAGTTATGAAGCAACAAGAAATGAATGCGGCAATATGTCTGGGAAGTAAGTTTGGGGATCAAGTGAGTAGTGGATGAGTGAATAGGAAGAGAGAAACAGGGGGACTGGCTGAAGTCTTCACAGGCCAGGCAGTGGAAGTCTTTAGGCACAGGAGCATGGAGCTTGCTTTTTATTCTTTCTGTGTAAAGACTCTTGACTGGAAGTCAGAATGTTGTAGATATCTCTTAGCAAGATGATTGGTACCCACAAAAAGCGGATGCTTTGCAAAAGTCCAGGTATGATGCTGTTACTGTCCATTTGAGAGGTAAGTGGGTCTCCCTGTTTCCTGAGCCATATCTATTTAATTAAAGGTCTTTGGAGAAAAGATGTTTAAATATGCCTCCCATTTTATCTGAACAAATAGCAACAGAAGTATAGATAGTAAGATTTGTGATCAGAGGCTGAAGCAGAAGACAGTCATTTTAATGTTCTTGTACCACTCCACATAATTAAAACGTTTCAAAAGAGCTTTAGATTGAATAGAAGCTCAGGATGTGTAAGCGCGACCACGATGGCTTGAAATCTCCTGCCAATGACAAGTAAAATACCAGTTCTAGCTACAGACCTCAACAGAATGATTAAATAAAAGTGTGTGTGTGTGTGTGTGTGTGTGTGTGTGTGTG